AAGATTTTAGAGGAAGACTGGGCAATTTTACATGCTAGTATTTGTAACTCATTTTAGATTTTAGTAAGGCAAGTAAAATGCAATAAGGACTGCTTTGCTTGTACTACATGCTACTTGCAATAAAACTATGTACACATAATCTTCAGTTATTTTATGAATGCGCTGATTTCCTTGTTCAGGAAGAATTGGGTGGGTTCATAGTGCTAGAAATACAGGTTGTTAAATATGTGCAGTTGGTCACAATATCGGGTAACTATAGACAGAGCCTCCAGCTCAGAGCAAAACCAGACCTTCAGGCCAGCTGTTGCTGTATCGCCAGTTTACGTGTGTGAACCTCATTTCGTGGGTCATGCGAAGAGGAACAAGCTGGGCAGGTGGCGAGGGCGCGGTGAAGGCCCCATCCAGCTCCGCATGGTCACCCAGGAGGGGCTGTGGCAGACAGCTCTGTCACTGGTGGGGGCGCGTTGTGAGTTCTAGTTCAGCTCAGACTTGGCTGAGCTGTGATCCAGGAGCCTCTACCTACTGTGGAAACAAGATACTGTCAGTCTAGTGAACTGGCAGCGTTTTACTGCTTTGGGAAGCACCAGTTCTCAAGCCAACATATTTTCAAGTAGCTCTAAGCTGGAAAAGAAACTCCTGTGAGTAATGCCTGGTGACTTATCCACTTTCTTTTCTGCATTTCCTGAGTTCTAAAAATAACATTTTGTGTGTGTGGTTAGCCCCACTGATTTCAATATCTGGACTATTTTGGCCATGTGCTGTATTTAATGCAGCTTTGTGGAATGGACAAGGTGAGGTTAAAAGAATGGTATCTTTTGAAAATGCTTTGGATACCGCTTAGGTGATGACTGAGCTTTGGCAGGGCCTGCCCAATCAAGAAATCTGCTGCAGTGCCTTATTTAAGAGCAGTATAATGGAGTGAGGAATTAGGATTTAATGCAAGGGAAATGTGCAATGTGGGTGGGTCATGCAGATGGATTTTGGTAGGGAGATGAAAAAGGTTTCTGCAGTCACAAACACTAAAATTGCAGTGGTGGTACTTGACTGTTAGCAGGCAGGAGAGATGTTAAATCTGATCTAAATCAGTGCTCATTTTTTCCCCAGATGAAAATGACTACTTATGAAAGGTTAGAGGATTTATGGTGGTGTCAAAACATATGGCAGATGGGCTGGATTAGGAGTCATGAGTATAGTAATCCAAATCCTTTTTGCCAAGCATTACAGAGGATCTACTCCTGCTGCTGGGCTGCACTAAATCTACACAGTCAGAGGAGCACAGGCTGACAGGAAGAGTTCCTAGTGAAAGTGCTTGTCTGAGCAGAGTCCATTTTGAAAGCACTTTCTTTGCAAGCAAAAGTCTACTAGGGAACTGATTGAATAATTTAATTTTAATAAATTTCTGTAACAAGTCAGGGTTTTTTCCTTTGGTGCTATACAAAGCCTGGAAGAAAATAACGCCAAAATGTGATCTAAACCTTTCTAATTATCCCTGACTATCGTACAAAGGGATAAAAACTGTGCAAAAGTCATGAATGTTGAGAGATGAAAAAAGGAAGCTTGCCATTCCTCTTCTGAGCCAGTGCTATGCGTGACTTAAAAAAAAAAAAAAAATCCTGCTTTAAATTTTTGTGACAGACGTTTAAGTATTAAGGACAGTTGTAGTCATGAGTTTAGACTGAGTCCAGAGGATCTCCTCTGAAATCTGAAAATTCACAGTGACATGTCAGTGTCACACAGGTTATTGGCAGCTGTAGTTAAAGTCTAGTTCATTTTAAAAGCATGTAAAGCTACTGCCTTTTGAGTAGATCCGTGTCTGAAATAGTTTCTAGAGAAGAATGTGAACCATTTGTGTCTAAGGCAACAAGAGGATAATTGCAGTCCACTCCTGTAGTCAATTAATTAAGCTAGAGAATACACCAGAGCTCTTTCTCTACTTAGCCAGTATTCTGCAGCTTGATAAATTGATGTGCTAGTGTGGAAAACCACCTACTCGGGTATCTCTGAGCTCCATGAGTGAATGCTTAGATATTTCATTTGACACTGGTGTAAAATGTTTCAATAAAATAACAAAAAACGTTGTTAAAGCATGAAACACAATACTGCATACAGATAAGTTGTGTTTATAGAGCCAAGAACTGTGAGGACCTGGACCTTTCAGATCTTATATTTAACCTAAAAAGGGAGGCTGCAAATAGTTACTCCAACAGTAGTGAGGATGGATTAGCTCTGAGGTACGGACTGTTTGTGTTTCTAGGAGCAAGAGACAAGCTTTTCATTGTTACTGTTTTATAATATATGAAGAAGCTCTGAAAGTTTTTAGCCAATTTCATTATTATCCATGAGGAATGCCATATCTATTCTAGTGTGGTTTTGTCACAGGTCTTTGTAATGTGAACTTTCTAAGCAATTAATTGAAAAGTGCCATGGTTAGATATTTAGGAAAAGGAGACTTTCTTCCAGTTGTTGTTTTAACAAAATAACAAAGGAGTCTAAGCAATCCATGAAAACTCACTTCTCATCAAGTTTCACGTGCATAGTATTGGCGATGTCTTAATCCTTCGAGTGGTATACAGCCTGGCAGCAGAGACCTGCTCTGAATTTCTAATTCAAACGAAGAAACGAATGAGAAAACCTCATCTTCCATTTCTCATCCTCTTTCTAAGTAGCCTCCTCTTAAGAGACTGTATGGGGGTGTATAAAAAGAGAAAAAAGGTCACATTTAACATTTGAGAGTTGTTTATATATATGCATGAAGAAACAGTTTGAAAATAATTGAGCCATAAGGGTGGGCAGAAAAAATTTCATGTAGTAAAATAGAACAGGAGTGAAAGGACAAGTTGAACCAGGGACATAAGGTTTTACTATGAGGGTGTACTATGAAGGCAAACCCATGAAATCTGAATGATCTTTTTGTTCCAAATATAAACTTAGTTGAGAGTTTCAGTGATAACAGTTTACACAGCCATATAACATTAAAAGCACTTAGACAGTTCTGACAGGCAGGGATGAAACGGTACCTGAGATGAGTTGTGAAGTATTATCCAGATTACAAATAAAAGTAGATTGTTACAGTAGGCTTTCAAGGGAATATATTCATTATGAAGTGTAGGTGTGGAGTTTGATTTATTAGCAAAAACTTATTGGTTTTCTGGGCTATAGAACTATACAAATAAATCAAATCAATCTATTAATAAATAATAAAGCCAATAAATCAGACTGAAATTAATATGGCAAAGAAAACGTGGACTCAGGCTTTACTTCATGTATAAGAAGTGCCAGCATTTTTTAGGTGATTCTGATTCAAATACATAAATACACTAATTATATTTTCTTTTGCTCTACTGATGCCTTCTTTGAATTCCTCCATATTGCCTCAAAAATTATTTAATCTAACTGCCATTAAATATTTCAAACTTCAGAAGGAGAAATTATGAGAATATGAAAATGGATAAATTTCTTAATAAGATAAGCAGATAAATTATGATGACTAGACCATGTCTTGTTACTGAAACATCAGTAACCTGGTGGTAGAAAACTATTAATAATTGACCTAAAATGGAACAGCACAATCATGTGTATTTCATGATACTAAGAGAAGAGTGTGTTCGTCCCCTGCCCTCACATCCCTCCCTGATTCCCCCCCCCCCCCCCCCCAGCGAAAAAATACCTTCT